TCTCCATTTGCTTGGTAAATCTTCCTCCATCCCTTTATTTTGAGCCTTTGTGTATCCTTTCATGTGAGATGGGTTTCCTGGATACAACACACTGATGGGTTTTGGCTTTTTATCCAATTGCCAGTCTGTGTCTTTAGATTGGGGTGTTTAGCCCATTTACATTTAGGGTTAATATTGTTATGTGTGAATTTGATCCTGCTTTTTGATGCTAGCTGGCTGTTTTGCCTGTTAGTTGATGCAGTTTTTTCATTGTGTCGATGCTCTTTATCATTTGATATGTTTTTGGAGTGCCTGGTACTGGTTGTTCCTTTCGATGTTTAGTGCTTCTTTCAGGAACTCTTATAAAGCTGTACTGGTGGTGATGAAATCTCTGAGTACTTGCTTGTTCACAAAGGATTTTATTTTTCCTTCACTTATGAAGCTTAGTTTGGCTGGATATGAAATTCTGGGCTGAAAGTTCTTTTCTTTAAGGATGTTGAGTATTGTCCCCCACTCTCTTCTGGCTTGTAGGGTTTCTGCTGAGAGATCCGCTGTGAGTCTGATGGGCTTCCGTTTGTGAGTAACCCGACCTTTCTCTCTGGCTGCCCTTAGCATTTTCTCCTTCACTTCAACCGTGGTGAATCTGATGATTATCTATCTTGGGGTTGCTCTTCGTGGGAATATCTTAGTGGTGTTCTGTGCATTTCCTGGACTTGAATATTGGCCTGCCTTGCTAGATTGGGGAAATTTTCCTGGATAATATCCTGAAGAGTATTTTCCAGCTTGGATTCATTCTCTCCATCACATTCAGGTACATCCATCAAACGTAGATTAGGTCTTTTCACATAGTCCCATATTTCTTGGAAACTTTGTTCATTTCTTTTTACCCTTTTTTTGCTAATCTTGCCTTCTCATTTTATTTCATCAAGTTGATCTTCAACCTCTGATATCCTTTCTTCTGCTTGGTCAATTCAGCTGTTGAAACTGTGTATGCTTCGCGAAGGTCTCATGTTGTGTGTTTCAGCTCCATCAATTCACTTATATTCCTCTCTAAGCTGTTTATTCTCGTTAGCATTTTTTCAAACCTTTTTTCAAGATTCTTAGTTTCTTTGCATTGGGTTAGAACATGTTCTTTTAGCTCAGAGAAGTTTCTCATTACCCACCTTCTGAAGCCTGTTTCTCTCAATTCATCGGACTCTTTCTCCATCCAGCCTTGTTCCCTTGCTGGTGAGGAGTTGTGATCCCTAGGAGAAGGAGAGGCGTTCTGGTTTTGGGTGTTTTCATCCTTTTTGTGCTGGTTTCTTCCCATCTTTGTAGATTTATCTACCTGTCGTCTTGTAGTTGTTGACTTTCAGATGGGGTCTCTAAGTGGACTTCCAGTTTGTTAATGATGAAGTTATTTCTTTCCATTTCTTAGTTTTCCTTCTAACAGGTCCCTCTGCTGTAGGACTGCTGAGGTCCACTCCAGGCTCTGCTTGCCTGGGGATCACCTGTAGCAGCTGCAGAACAGTAAGGGTTGCTGCCAGTTTCTTCTTCTGCTGTCTTTGTCCCAGAAGGATACCTGCCAGATGTCAGTCTGAGCTCTCCTTTATGAGGTGACTTCTTTGGATATATGGGGTCAGGGAGCTGCTTGAGGAGACAGTCTGTCCTTTATAAGAGCTCAAATGCTGAGCTCTGAATGTTCCACTCAGAGCTGCTGGGTGGGTACATTTAAGTCTGCTATAGCAGAACTCATAAACGCCTTTCTTTTTCCCCAAGGTGCTCTGTCCCAGCAGAGTTAGGGCTTTATTTATAAGTTTCTGTCATGCTGCTGCTTTTTTTCAGGGCTGCCCTGCCCAGCGAGGAGGCAGTCTAGTCACAGTCTGCCTGCAGAGGCTTTGCTGAGCTGCTGTGGGCTCCACCCAACTGCCGTGTGAACTTCCCGGCAGTCCTGTTTATAGGGGTATAGTTAGAACTGTCTCAGGAATGGCAGCCTGCCTCTATTGGCAGACTCTCTCTGTAATGGTGGACTGCCTCAGCAAAGGCGGACTGCCTCAGCAATGGCGGACTACCTCGTTAGTGGTGGACTGCCTGGGTAATGGCGGACGCCCCTCCCCCACAGAGCTGGACCATCCTGGGTTCAGCTGTGCTTGCTGTGAAACTCTCAATCCAGAGCGTTTCAGATTGCTGTTTTTTGTGGGGGTGGGACTGGCCGAGCCTGATCACCTGGCTCCCTGCTTCAGACCCCCTTTTTTTTTCAGTTGATAGGGTGACTCTCCCTCCCAGGCATTGTAGTTGCCAGTTGAAAAAACACCCAGATTTGTGTGAGATTTTATGCAGAGACCCACTGAGCTGGCTGAAACAGCTGCACTGGGGGCTCGTGGCGCTTTTTCGCCCAGTAATCTCCTGGCCTGGCTTCCTGTTTCAGTCCCCTTTTTATCAGTTGAATGGGTGAATCTGTCTCCCAGGAGCTCCTGGACCTGTGTATTTTGTGCGGAGACCCGCCACGCTGGCCAAAACAGCTGCGCTGGCGACCCGTGGGGCTCCTCCACCTGGGAATCTCCTGGTCTGTGGGCAATAAAAGTCTGTCTGGATATGCGGCATCCACTCACCCTCCATATTTTGCTGGGAGCTGCAATCCTGAGCTGCTCCTAATCGGCCATCTTGAATCCTCTCCCAACGTACAGTATTTCATATAAGCATTTTCACCTCCAGGGTCTGAAACTCACATGTTCAAGCAGGAGCTCCAGCAGCTCCTCTGTCAAAGCTGCTCACCTGTGACAGCCATAGAGATGAAATCATTTTTTTCTGTTTTTTTTAAAAGTAATTTTTGCTATTGTAGGTCTTTTAAATTTCCATATGAATTTTAGAATCAGTTTGCCAATTTGCACAAAAAGATATCCTAGAATTTAGGTTGGGGTTGTATTAGATTTATAGATAAACTAACGAAAATGACATTTTAACAATTTTGAGTTCTTTGATTCATGAACATATCTATTCAGGTCTCTCACCAATGTTTTGTCATTTTCAGTGTAGGGTGTTTCACATCTTTTGTCAGATTTATCTCTTAGTATTTCATATTTTTGATGTAACTTAGGCGGTATTTTTTCATTTCAATTTCCAATTGTTCATTGCTAGTACATTCGACCCTTGAACAATGTGAGGATTGAGGTATCAACTCCTGAGCAGTAGGAAATTTGCATGGAAGGATTTTTTTTTTTTAATTTTTTTTTTTTTTGACATGACAGAGTTGTGCTCTGTTGCCCAGGCTGGAGTGCAATGGTGCGATCTCAACTCAGTACAACCTCTGCCTCCTGGGTTCAAGCAATTCTCCTGCCTCAGCCTCCAGGGTAGCTGGGATTATAGGTGTGTGCCACCACGCTCGGCTAATTTTTTGTGTTTTTAGTCAAGATAGGGTTTTGTTATGTTGGCCAAGGTTGGTCTCCAATTCCTGGCCTGAAGTGATCTGCCCACCTCGGCCTCCCAAAGTGATGGAACTATAGGCGTGAGACACTGTACCTGGCCTGCATAGAATTTTTGAGTTCCTAAAAATTCAACTATTAATAGCCTACTGTATACTAGAAGCCTTACCAATAACAGAAACAGTTGCTTAACACATATTTGGCACATTGTATGTGTTATATACCGTATTTTTACAGTAAAGTCAGCTAGAGAAAAGAAAACATTATTAAGAAAATATTGAGGAAGGAAAATTAAATATTCATTAAGTGGGAGTGAATTATCATAAATGTTTTCCTCTTGATTGTCCTCCATTAAGTAGACTGAGAAGGAGGAAGAGGAGGGTGGGTCTTGCTGCTTCAGGGGTGGCAGATGGGGAAGAGTAGAGGAGATCAAAGGAGGAGAGTCAGGCACACTTGGTGTAACTTTACAGAATTACATCATAATTACTGTTTGGCCTTTTGTTTTTGTTTTTGTTTTGTTTGAGACTAAGTCTTGCTCTGTTGCCCAAGGTGGATTGCAGTGGTGCGATCTCAGCTCACTGAAACCTCTGCCTCCCGGGTTCAAGCGATTCTCGTGCCTCAGCCTCCCGAGTAGCTGGGATTACAGGCATGTGCCACCACACCTAGCTGATTTTTGTATTTTTAGTAGAAATGGAGTTTACCATGTTGACCAGGCTGGTCTCGACCTCCTAACCTCAGGTGATGTACCTGCCTTAGCCTCCCAAAGTGCTGAAATTACAGACATGAGCCACTGTACCTGGCTGCCTTTTCAATCTTTGAAAATGTTTTTATACAAAACTAATCCTTCTTCCCCATTTGCTTTCATTTCAGTGCCCATTCATGGAAGGGTCCATGTTGTAAAAGAAGTCAAAAGTAGTCTTAATAATCAGAAGCCTTTGCCAGATTGTTTAATAGCAATTTGTTTTCTGGCACTGTTTCTTGTACATCTTCTTTAGTACCTGGTACTGATTCAAAAGCACTCATCTCCATCAAGTCATCTTTTGTTGATTTCTCTGGTGTGGTGTCTATTCCTTCTTGAAATTTCCCAGATCCATATCTTGAAAGACTATATTCCCCTTCTTTTGTTGCGGAATTAGAAATCCTGGGTTTGCTGGCAGGTAGACCACTTTGACACCTTAGGTGTTGAACTTGTGGGTTCTGGGTGGCTAGGGGCATTGTCCAAAATCAAAAGAACTTTGAAAGACAGTTTCTTACTGGCAAGATATTTTCTGACTTCAGGGACAAAGCAGTGATAGAACCAATCCAGAAAAAGTGTTCTTGTTGAGGCCTTCTTGTACAACAATAAAACTGGCAGCGGGTGTTGATCTTTTCCCTTCAAGGCTTGGGCGCTAGCATGTTTATAGAAGAGGGCGGTCCTATTTGTAAACCCAAACATACAAAGATACAAACTGTGTCAAAAGCATGGCATGGGTACTGAGAAAGGAGGGTGAAAAATGAGGATGACATCACCTCTGGCCTCAAGGAGTGCTCAGCAGACTGAGGGAGACAAGTACATCTTTTCCTGAAGGAGGGCAGTGGAGTGATGGCGTGTCTAGAATGTGGAAGTAGAGGGATCACATAGAGGCAGCTCAGCAGAGTGTTCATGCAGTGATTGGGCCACCGACCCTCCCACTGCATGCAACATATCTGAGGGAAACCATTTAAAATACGTGACAGTCACTTTCCATCAAGTCCCTGGTATGGTCCATGGAGGTAGGGTTGTCCATCTTGTTTCAGCATTTCAGAGGCCTCTCGGGGTTTGGATACAGAAGACAAGCAGCAATGCTTATGCATTGCGGAGATGCAGGTGAGCCCTGATTTCTTGCCAGTTAGAAGGTCAGTGCTGAGGGCCTTGTTGTCTTTCCTTGGAACATGCGATGCCATTTCCTTTCTGGACAGAGTTTTTGGTTGCCAAAAGGCAAAATCTAAATATTGCTTTGGCAAGATATTTCCTGACTTCAGGGACAAAGCGGTGATAGAACCAATCCAGAAAAAGTGTTCTTGTTGAGGCCTTCTTGTACAATATTTGCTAAATATTGCAAATTCCAAATACATTAGATTTATTCAAATGTACTTTATCTTTTGGAATCTTCAGAGTTCAAAAACATTGCTTAATAATTCTGTGTCTAAACTCACATTGCAGCACAGGGCATAATCTGTCCCCAAGGCAAAGACCATCAGCTATTCTTGTCTGGAAAACATACAAGTTGGTATCTCAGCAAAGGCTACTCACGCATTCTTGTTCTTATGAGTAAATCATTGTCAGTGACTGTGATTTTTTTTTCTGAAGGGATAAATACACGCCCTCTATTAGGGTCAGGTTTTGTGCCTGTAATTCTTCCGCCTACTGTATTATAGGAGCTTAGAATCCCAGCTGCTGGCTCTGGGCTGAAGTTCCCTGATGGCTCCTGCAGGGTGGACTGGCCCCCTTTCCGTATGTGTGCTTCTGCTGTTAACCTATGGCTTTGCCCATGCAGGCAAGCTGCTGGTAGTGCCCATGGATGGGAGCCACTGGTTCACCATGCAGTCGGTGGTGGAGAAACTCATCCTCAGGGGTCATGAGGTGGTCGTAGTCAGGCCAGAGGTGAGTTGGCAACTGGGAAGAAACCTGAATTGCACAGTGAAGACTTACTCAACCTCATACTCTCTGGAGGATCAGGACCGACAGTTCATGGCATTTGCCAATGATCAATGGAAAGAACAAATACAAAGTATATTTTCTCTATTAGTGAGTCCATACAGTGGCAATTTTGACTTATTTTTTTCACACTGCAAGAGTTTGTTTAAGGACAAAAAACTAGTAGAATACTTAAAGGAGACTTCTTTTGATGCAGTGTTTCTGGATCCTTTTGATACCTGTGGCTTAATTGTTGCCAAATATTTCTCCCTTCCATCTGTGGTCTTCACCAGGGGAATACTTTGCCATTATCTTGAAGAAGGTGCACAGTGCCCTGCTCCTCTTTCCTATGTCCCCAGAGGTCTCTTAGGGTTCTCAGATGCTATGACTTTCAAGGAGAGAGTACGGAACCACATCATGCACTTGGAGGAGCATTTATTTTGCCACCATTTTTTCAAAACTGCCCTAGAAGTAGCCTCTGAAATTCTCCAAACACCTGTCACGGCATATGATCTCTACAGCCACACATCAATTTGGCTGTTGCGAACGGACTTTGTTTTGGACGATCCCAGACCTGTGATGCCCAACATGGTCTTCATTGGTGGTATCAACTGCAAACAGGGAAAGCCATTGCCTATGGTAAGTCATCTCTCCTTTAGCATAGTAAGAATAATCTGGCTTTGGAAATTTTAAAAGGATTCCTTAATGAACTGCGATTTGACATTTTTGTTTGTTGCATTTCAAATTTCTTTCCAGTTTAACAAATTATTTTGTGCCAATGCATGTACTTGTCAGTTAGCAAATTTTATAAAACTGCCCTTCTTGAAGATATGTATGTATAATTTACAAAATTGTAGATCACATTTAACGTACATTTTTAAGTACCATATTTAGAAAAGTACCAAAAACCACAGTAAGAAATGAAACTTTTCTATATGACCCCCTAGAGGAAATGCTCTTAGCAGTTTTGTGTACATTTTTTACATTTAAAAAAATAGTGTTTTAGGTATACACAACATCTAATGTAAATTCTCACACCTATTTTATTAAAATCTAGTATTGGGCTGGACACATTCTTCTTTTCCTTGCATTTTTCACTTGCCAATAAATTATAGCCTCCTTTATAGACCAATACATACTGATTTGACAAGTTTTTTTTTTGTATTTTTTAATTATACTCTAAGTTCTGGGGTACATGTGCAGAATGTGCAGGTTTGTTACATAGGCATACACATGCTATGGTGATTTCCTGCCTGTCGGGGAGTGGGGGAGCTAGAGGAGGGATAGCAGAGGGTTGGGGGGATTAGAGAGGGATAACATTAGGAGAAATACCTAATGTAGGTGATAGGGGTATGGATGCAGCAAACCACCAAGTTCTTTTAACAGTTGCTTAAAAGACTTGCATTGGATGCAGTGTACTTTTTAACCAATTAATATTGAAATAGATTTAGGAATTTTCCATTTTTTGCCATTATGAATAAGACCATTTAAATACTCTTTAATACTTTCCTTACATGAATATATTTCCATATTCTTGCTTTTATCTTAGTAGACTAGAGTCCTACACGTAGGGTTACAGAGTTTTCATGAATTGAGAAGAATTGGCATATTTTTGCTATTA